AAAGGTCGCTGACTTTTGACTTTCGCGTAACCTCCAGCAACTGCTCAACCTCCGAGGGTTGACTCGCCAGTGCTTCGATATGCTTTGCTTCGCTTCTGACTTGGTGTTTCGACACGACAGAGGCGCTTACAATTAATTGTTTCCAACAATTCTAACAGAGGAGAGGGGGGATTGAGCCTGCCGAGAGGGATTCTTGCGTGCTGAACAAAATGAGGTGGCAGGAGAACCCCTAGATGGGCTGGCTGAGCACACCGCACCAGCACAACGTTGCCTGCTGAAGAGGCAACCAACCACAAACCTCCTGCTTTGTGCGCGGCGTGGCAAAAAAAGTCATGTGGGTGGCAGAATCCGGGGACAATTATGCATTACAGCTCAAACAACAAATCAGATTGTGTGAATTTGACAACAAGGCACAAAATATGCCATAACAGCAAAAACAGTCGGTCGGAGCCGCTGGGTGGCGCCGCAGCACAGTGGGTACGGTAATTGATTGCTGATGGTGAATCTCGGCGAAACTGCTTGAATCTGTCGCCAATCTCGGCGAAACTGCTTGAATCACGGAGTTTTCAGCTTCAGGGTCGAACGAGACACAACCAGGCCCTCAGATTGCAGGAATTTTACCCTGATTTGATTTTCAGGGTATTTTTAGGTCCCAACCCTGATGAGAAAGTTTTTTTATTTATGCCTACACTGTTTTTTCAGCTAACTTTCTTGTACCAGGCCTGAAATGTCAGCCTAATTTTGCTAGGGGACCCTGATTCGAATCATGCAGTAGTGGGGCCATCCTTGTTAGCGAAATTGCCTAGATTCGATGAATTTGGCAAAAAAATTGCCCAAAATTTTCGCCGTCACCGTCAATCACGTGAAACGGCATCTTAGGGCTGTTTCCTACACCCCCCTTATCTACATCTTGTCAGACTCGCCTCAGACACCATTTGTTTGGTTTAAACCGACTCTTCATTTCACGTTTTGTTGATTGGCGAAGTGCGAGACAGAAAGCGTGGGGTGACGTGGCACTGCGCAACGCTCCCGAAATGTTGTTGAGGAACATTCCCGACTGTTGCTTGCGAGCGCTTGTCTGATTTTGTCTCGTATGTTTGAACGTGACAAAACAGAGACCTTCAGCACACGCGATTGCCTAACCTGGACCACCATTGCTGCACCACCACTGTCTCCCTCCCCCCGTTCCCGTCACATTATGATGAAGGCTGGTTACATCAGCGTTAAAAAATGTACCAGCCCTGATAAGAAAGTTTTTTTTTTTATGCGACGACACTGATTTTCAGGGTTTATTTTTGTAACGACCCTGACAGAAAGTTTTTTTTTTTGGACCAACACTGATGAGAAAGTGTGGCCCAAAACGAATCTGAGGGCCTGGACACAACGCTGATTCGTCAGTGCTCAAAACTCAGTGTCACTAAAAATAAAAGGCTGAAACTTCAGGGTCACTTCACAAAAACACCTTGAAAATCAGCAAAATCAGGGTAAAAATACTGACTTCTCAGGGCCTCAGTGCCTCTGCTTATACACTGTCACCTAGAACCCTAAACGAATCAGCAACAACAGAAAAGGACTCTAAGTTCTCAGGCCACAGATCCGCAGGTGACTGTGCATTCATGGAGAAAAGCTTTCCGTGTTTCACCGCACAAACAGAAACATTGTGACGGGAGAATGAAGCGCCTTGTACAGTGTACTCCAGTCTTATGTACAGCACGCCATCCAGCTCCTTCTCGCTTGCATTCAGCAGCATGGCCTCCCTTCCAGACCCAGCAGGTGCGATAACGTTAGCCAACAGCCTGCCACCGATGCTCTCTGCGTCTCCGAAGCTCCTAAGGCTGCAGAGGCGGAACAAAGAGACGCAAGGAGACACACGGCACGAGGAGCAGCAGAAATTAGTGCCAACGCTTCCTCATACTCCGCTCGAAACCATGTTCTGCAAATACAAAAAAGTACCAACTGAGTTTGCCGTCGTACATATAAACCCCACCAGGAGACTCACCTGAAGCCACGTGGCACAGGAGCAACAACGACGCTCACATTGAGCTCCCCGTTCCCCCCCGGCGGGCCAAAGGCCGCCACAGGATCTACTGCACCTGCTCTGCGTGCTTGTTGCGAGGATGCGGAGGAGGAGGAGGAAGGGGAGGAGAGGGGAGGCGGGTCCAGCGAGAGTTCTCTCTCTCTGCGCTCCGCTGCTCGGTATAGCAACAGCTGGTCACCCACCCATTCGGCTGGAAAGAGGAATTCTGGGGTGGAGGCAGGAAGGGATGAAGGCAGAGAGAGGAGGGACGGCGTAGGAGAGTGGGAGTGAGGAGGCGAGTGGGTGTTGGACAGACAGTGCAGGTAGACATGGGAGTGGATTTGTATGCAATGCAAGGGTGCGAGATCTGATTGAGGGTCTTGATTTGAGAGGAACGGCTCACTATGCAGCATGTTACATTGTTACTCGCTGCAGAAAACCCTCACAAGTATCCTGCCACACGTCCGACTCCTTTGGGGAACTTACCCAAGAGAAATGTGTGCTTTAGGTAATGTGCACACACTCTGCATCTGCCAACCAGACGTTCCCAAACACTCAAGCACGTACATTCCTCAAAATAACGTCTCTCGGCGTGTGCCTGACCGCACCGCACAGAACTCACCGAAACCATTCGCCGTGTCATAGCACCGCTTGTAACCCTTGATAGGGAACAGCACATCCAGGCGTGCTGACCGCGCAGGGTCCTCCACTGTTCCCAAGAGAGCACTCGTGGAGCCAAGGAAATTCGACCCCAGCGCTAAACCAGCAAACCCTAACGATCCCAGCAGGAGCCGTCGCGTGGATGGTAACCGGCCGCCCCATGTAACCACCGCCGTTGGCGACACCGGCAGGGGTGGTTGGGAGGGGGTCGGGAAAGGTGGTTTCTGGGGGAGGTTGGAAGCGGGTTGCGCTGGTGGTTGCGGTTTAGGAGGGTCGGATTGCGGGGGAACGGAAGATGCGCGGAAGGGGAGGAGAGGCCGGAAGGCGGAATGATGATGTTTGACTCGATGGGGATTTGAGTGAAGGAAGGGATAAGTTGTGGGTCTCAATGGACGGTGGATAATGGCGGTAGGAGGGGAACGAGGGCTGTGCTCCGCCGACGTCCACGGATTGGGTATGGAGAACGAGGAGAGCGGAGGAGCGAGAAAAAAAGTCGCCATGCTGAAAGACGGCGGTAAGGTTCAGTGGGGTGTGCCCAGAAGACCAAGGTGGCACAAAGAATGAGTTAGGAAATTTGGGTCTAGGATATCTAGTTGGGAGTGAATGCGGATGGTCACTAACAAGGGCTTCGACAACACGTACAGTATTAAGAAACACCAACAAAGTGGTTTAACGTGTTTAGTCGCTATTAACTTCACCCTTCCTTTGAAAAACAAATTGTTTCAAGAACAAAATCCCTGTATATATTAATAACCTATGATTTAGCCCATGGAAACGTATACAACTTTCAAAATAGCAAACCATTAAATTGAAAGCATGTGTTTTTAGGGTCTAAGATATTCAAAGGATGGAATGTCAGCACTGACGCGGATGACCCCTCATATCGAGGATGCTAGTGTCCCCTTGGTGAAGCACTAGGTCGGGTACCCCACAGAAAACATGACGACGAGAGTAGCGCGTGTACAAACCGAAAAGCATCCGACACTAGGAATGACATCTTGCGTCGATACACACAATACCCAGTACACACGATGCCCGGTTGAGCCCCCCGACCTCGGCCTACCCTATGGGCCTATAAGTGATTCTTGCATTTCGTGGAGGTTGCATCGGGCAAAAAGGGCTTATAAAAAACTTTGTAACTCACCGTTGACTGTTTGACTGCAGTCTCATCAGTCAGACTTCCGTTTCTGGCTTTCCTATTGGTCGACGTGATTGTACCATAGGTGCAACTTCGCGGCAGGAAACCAACGGGTGCAAGGTTTCTGGAATGTGCAAGGCAATTTCGCGTGCAGGGGCTGGGCATCATCTGTACGTCTCGGGATCTCCTTCGGCCCTGCCTTGGTTACGCCATTGCGAAGACGCCTTCCGTCGCCACACATGTCCCCCTCCAACTCGAATCGCTCCACCAGCAGTTACACGGGGAGGAGCAGCACAGTGCGATCCCGCTTGATTACAGTACAGCGCCTGTGAGTTGATGGATTTCAATCTCAGCTGCCCGAATTCCTCCATGGCAGGTTCTGCTGTTATTGTTTTCCGTGACGCTCGAATATACTGTGCTGGGAACAACGGATTTTCACTTGCAACCGTTTTTTTCACAGAACTGACCTTCCCTCATGAACAACGGTGATGATACGTGCTGTAACAACTGTAGGCAGAACAGACAGGACAAAAACCCTTCCCTCTGCCCAACCACAGTTCTGACTGGCAGCCTACAGTAATTCCTGCCTGATTTCTTATTTGCTCACACGCACCGTTTGAGCCCCTCCCGGTTGCCTTGTGAAGGGGGCGTATAAGCTGTATCGAGAATTTCGCATAAGTTTCGTCAATTCGCAGCTAGCTAAAAAGGATTCGCAGGTGCTTATATTAAGGAGCTGTAACCTTATCCGTTGACATTTTGACTTCGGTCTCTTCAGTTTGACTTCAGTCTGTTCGTTACTATTGTTCGATAACCACGCGACGCGCTTGTATCGTGGGTGCAACAGGCTGGGGAAAAGACCTCGGGTGCAGCGTTTCCATTCGGTGCAGGGAAAATTCGCGTGCACTGGTTGGGCATCATGTGTACGACCGCACCGAAGTTGGGATTTTCAAGCCAATAGAAGTCAGCTTCGTGCTGTTTTGGTTGGTGGTGGTCACCTGTCAAACCACACTCACTTATTGTTTCGTTATAAGGTCCAGTGTATGCATATTGAGTTTGGTTTAGGTCAGTTGGGCGTCAAACACCAACAGGATATGCAACGGATGGGCGTGCAAGCCGCGTTAGCCCATCGCTCCATAACTTAATATGTAAGCCCATTAGGACGGTCCTCAAGGAGGCGTGACCGCCATGGACGCTGACGTCAGCGTAGATGACATGAGCGATGACGCGAGCCGCGGGCCCTATAGCGACTCTTACGCCAGCGATCACGGCGACGATCACGGCGGCGATCACGGCGACCGTCGCGGCTGGAAACCCGGTACTGGCTGGCGCAGAGCAGCCGCGTGGAAGACTCTAGTTTCTGGAGCGCGGCGGTTGGTGACGGGCAGAAGGCGGAGACGCGACGATGCCGGTAGCGAGGGCGACAATAGCGAGTACTACTCAGACCGGACGTATTCGGATGAGGAATTGTCGATAGCGGAAGGCAGCGTGGCGCAGTCCGCTGTCTCTTACAGTCGAGCCTCCACCAGGTACAACCCGCGACGAGTTTTGAGGTGCCTCGAAAGTCATTTAAGGCGCCCGTCGAAGGAGCCTCCACCAGGTGCGACCCGCGACGTAAACACACAAGTTCACACGAATACGTCAACGCTGAAAAGTAGACTTCAAGACAGGGGGTACCGAATAGCGGCATCTGGCGTTAGGGTTGATGCTTTGCCACCGGTCCCGTCCGCTCCCAATTGCGTAATCCGAGTCGACTCAAACACACACCTTTTCCTTGCGTTTCCTCCGTTTTCGATTACGTTTTTCGGCAGCGTTTCTCGTTTCTGACCCATGCGTCCCATGAACCCCATGAATCTCATGCGTTTCATGCATTGACTTGACTTTTGTGTCGACTCAAAAGTCACCTCATGAATCTCATGCATCCCATTCATTTGAAGCCGATTCGGCTGCCCTATGTCTGCTCTCCGCAAGCCTCGCCTTTACCCTTCTCCGCCATCTTTCCTCCCCCCTATGCTCCTCTCCGGCTCCATGCTTTTACCGTTCCGCCCGCTGTGTTCCGCCTGCCCTTTTCCGCCCTGTCGACTCAAAACTCGCCCCACACTCCCCTCCCCCACTGCCGCACCCTGTTCCCGTTCCGCCCGCTGTTTCCGCCGCTTCCCCCAGTGCATGGTGGGCGCAGACGGACAACTACAGCAACCCCTACCGCCGCCGCTCCGCACACGCGCAGCACTACCCGCAGCAGGGGGAAGGCGGAGGGCGCGCGCAGGGGTACGGGCACGGAAGCAGCGCGGGCAAGGGGGGAAAACGATCCGCGCTAGATGACGTGTTAGTGGACCTATCGAGCCAGCTGCAGGGGTCGCAGGGGGTGGGCGCGGAGGGGAGTGTGGCGGAGGGGGAGGGGGAATGGGAGGAGGGCGCGGGGGAGATGCCCGGGCCGTGGTTCTGGCCGTCGTGGTGCCCCTGCCCGCGCGTGCGCAACCCCATCCTCGTTTACCGCCTAGCAGCCATGGTGCGGGGCGGAGGGGGAAAGGGGAAGGGGGAAGGGACAGCGACGTATTGGTTGTTTGGAGTGGGGCTGGGTGGGGTTTGGAGGGGGAAAATGAGAAGGGAAGATATGCGGATTGAATGCCGGGGAGAGGTATCATGATCCAAGGAGGTTGCCTTCCCTCCCCGACCTTCTTTATTGGAAGACATAAGCTGCATGTTACACTGGTGGATGTGACACCCTTAATGCTCCAACATTTGTTCCCTCCCCGACCTTCTTTATTGGAAGACATAAGCTGCATGTTACACTGGTGGATGTGACACCCTTAATGCTCCAACATTTGTTCCCTCCCCGACCTTCTTTATTGGAAGACATAAGCTGCATGTTACACTGGTGGATGTGACACCCTTAATGCTCCAACATTTGTTCCCTCCCCGACCTTCTTTATTGGAAGACATAAGCTGCATGTTACACTGGTGGATGTGACACCCTTAATGCTCCAACATTTGTTCCCTCCCCGACCTTCTTTATTGGAAGACATAAGCTGCATGTTACACTGGTGGATGTGACACCCTTAATGCTCCAACATTTGTTCCCTCCCCGACCTTCTTTATTGGAAGACATAAGCTGCATGTTACACTGGTGGATGTGACACCCTTAATGCTCCAACATTTGTTCCCTCCCCGACCTTCTTTATTGGAAGACATAAGCTGCATGTTACACTGGTGGATGTGACACCCTTAATGCTCCAACATTTGTTCCCTCCCCGACCTTCTTTATTGGAAGACATAAGCTGCATGTTACACTGGTGGATGTGACACCCTTAATGCTCCAACATTTGTTCCCTCCCCGACCTTCTTTATTGGAAGACATAAGCTGCATGTTACACTGGTGGATGTGACACCCTTAATGCTCCAACATTTGTTCCCTCCCCGACCTTCTTTATTGGAAGACATAAGCTGCATGTTACACTGGTGGATGTGACACCCTTAATGCTCCAACATTTGTTCCCTCCCCGACCTTCTTTATTGGAAGACATAAGCTGCATGTTACACTGGTGGATGTGACACCCTTAATGCTCCAACATTTGTTCCCTCCCCGACCTTCTTTATTGGAAGACATAAGCTGCATGTTACACTGGTGGATGTGACACCCTTAATGCTCCAACATTTGTTCCCTCCCCGACCTTCTTTATTGGAAGACATAAGCTGCATGTTACACTGGTGGATGTGACACCCTTAATGCTCCAACATTTGTTCCCTCCCCGACCTTCTTTATTGGAAGACATAAGCTGCATGTTACACTGGTGGATGTGACACCCTTAATGCTCCAACATTTGTTCCCTCCCCGACCTTCTTTATTGGAAGACATAAGCTGCATGTTACACTGGTGGATGTGACACCCTTAATGCTCCAACATTTGTTCCCTCCCCGACCTTCTTTATTGGAAGACATAAGCTGCATGTTACACTGGTGGATGTGACACCCTTAATGCTCCAACATTTGTTCCCTCCCCGACCTTCTTTATTGGAAGACATAAGCTGCATGTTACACTGGTGGATGTGACACCCTTAATGCTCCAACATTTGTTCCCTCCCCGACCTTCTTTATTGGAAGACATAAGCTGCATGTTACACTGGTGGATGTGACACCCTTAATGCTCCAACATTTGTTCCCTCCCCGACCTTCTTTATTGGAAGACATAAGCTGCATGTTACACTGGTGGATGTGACACCCTTAATGCTCCAACATTTGTTCCCTCCCCGACCTTCTTTATTGGAAGACATAAGCTGCATGTTACACTGGTGGATGTGACACCCTTAATGCTCCAACATTTGTTCCCTCCCCGACCTTCTTTATTGGAAGACATAAGCTGCATGTTACACTGGTGGATGTGACACCCTTAATGCTCCAACATTTGTTCCCTCCCCGACCTTCTTTATTGGAAGACATAAGCTGCATGTTACACTGGTGGATGTGACACCCTTAATGCTCCAACATTTGTTCCCTCCCCGACCTTCTTTATTGGAAGACATAAGCTGCATGTTACACTGGTGGATGTGACACCCTTAATGCTCCAACATTTGTTCCCTCCCCGACCTTCTTTATTGGAAGACATAAGCTGCATGTTACACTGGTGGATGTGACACCCTTAATGCTCCAACATTTGTTCCCTCCCCGACCTTCTTTATTGGAAGACATAAGCTGCATGTTACACTGGTGGATGTGACACCCTTAATGCTCCAACATTTGTTCCCTCCCCGACCTTCTTTATTGGAAGACATAAGCTGCATGTTACACTGGTGGATGTGACACCCTTAATGCTCCAACATTTGTTCCCTCCCCGACCTTCTTTATTGGAAGACATAAGCTGCATGTTACACTGGTGGATGTGACACCCTTAATGCTCCAACATTTGTTCCCTCCCCGACCTTCTTTATTGGAAGACATAAGCTGCATGTTACACTGGTGGATGTGACACCCTTAATGCTCCAACATTTGTTCCCTCCCCGACCTTCTTTATTGGAAGACATAAGCTGCATGTTACACTGGTGGATGTGACACCCTTAATGCTCCAACATTTGTTCCCTCCCCGACCTTCTTTATTGGAAGACATAAGCTGCATGTTACACTGGTGGATGTGACACCCTTAATGCTCCAACATTTGTTCCCTCCCCGACCTTCTTTATTGGAAGACATAAGCTGCATGTTACACTGGTGGATGTGACACCCTTAATGCTCCAACATTTGTTCCCTCCCCGACCTTCTTTATTGGAAGACATAAGCTGCATGTTACACTGGTGGATGTGACACCCTTAATGCTCCAACATTTGTTCCCTCCCCGGACTTCCTTCCCTCCCTTCCATTCCTCCCTTTCTCGCTCCCCCTTGCTCCTTTTGCTTCCCTGTGGACATGGGTCTGCATGGGTGCATGGTTGCACCCGTGCATGGGTGCTGCATGTGTGCATGTGTGCATGCATGCATGCATGCATGCAGCTGCTAGTGGCAGTGATCATCTTCCTCCTCACCTTCTTCACATGGCTCCTCACCAGCTCTTACTACAACAACTCCGTACAGGTGCCATGGGAGGGGGTGTATGTGAGAGAGAGAGCTATGTTCAATCGACCTGTCCCCCTTCTTCCTCTTTCTGGTTCTTAAGGAGCTATGTTCTCAAGCTCATTCCCGCACTCTGTTCTGCAAAAGTGTCAAGGTTTCCTCTTCTAGCCCAGCAGAGAGAGTTGCCTGTCTACCAGAGCCATTCTGTGCAGAGCCCACCCAACTGCTCTTAGTTACCAACCACCTGGAGGAGTTACCCTGTTTTTAACCCCATGCACCTGCTGACGCCCACGCAGGAACTGTAGTAGAGTTTTCATAAAGCAGCTACCACCACCTCCCTCCCCTTCCCAGCTCCTGATGCTGATGACGAATTACAGGATGCAGATGCTGATGCGATTGTTGAGGCGCCGAAACAACGATGCGCATGCAATGCAGTGGAGGAGTGAGCGCAAGTGATGAGAAGTCGTCAAGAACTGCTTATGAGATATCTCCAATCGAAAACAACCCCCACTCCGCCCCCTCCCCTCTTCCCCCTGTCCTCCCCCTCTCCAGACGCTGACGATGAACTACCGGAAGCAGCTGCTGATGCGCCCGCAGGAGCGCGTGGGGAGCATTGTGGAGGGCACGCGCAACGTGTCGCTGACGTACGCTGCCGTGCTGCAGGCGGGGCTGGAAGCGCAACGAGAGGGCGCATGGCACGGTGCATGAGGGGCATGCGTGGACATTGACTGGCGCCTAGTCAACACTGCGGTGACGAAGAGAGGGGGGGGATGTATGGGAGGAGGGGATTGGGCGGGGATGAGGGCTGTGGGAGGATTTGAGGTGTTTTGAAAAGGCTTTGTGAGGCTTCTCAAGGGCTGTGCGGTAGGCGGGGCTGGAAGCGCAACGAGAGGGCGCATGGCACGGTGCATGAGGGGCATGCGTGGACATTGACTGGCGCCTAGTCAACACTACGGTGACGAAGAGAGGGGGGGGATGTATGGGAGGAGGGGATTGGGCGGGGATGAGGGCTGTGGGAGGATTTGAGGTGTTTTGAAAAGGCTTTGTGAGGCTTCTCAAGGGCTGTGCGGTAGGCGGGGCTGGAAGCGCAACGAGAGGGCGCATGGCACGGTGCATGAGGGGCATGCGTGGACATTGACTGGCGCCTAGTCAACACTGCGGTGACGAAGAGAGGGGGGGGATGTATGGGAGGAGGGGATTGGGCGGGGATGAGGGCTGTGGGAGGATTTGAGGTGTTTTGAAAAGGCTTTGTGAGGCTTCTCAAGGGCTGTGCGGTAGGCGGGGCTGGAAGCGCAACGAGAGGGCGCATGGCACGGTGCATGAGGGGCATGCGTGGACATTGACTGGCGCCTAGTCAACACTGCGGTGACGAAGAGAGGGGGGGGATGTATGGGAGGAGGGGATTGGGCGGGGATGAGGGCTGTGGGAGGATTTGAGGTGTTTTGAAAAGGCTTTGTGAGGCTTCTCAAGGGCTGTGCGGTAGGCGGGGCTGGAAGCGCAACGAGAGGGCGCATGGCACGGTGCATGAGGGGCATGCGTGGACATTGACTGGCGCCTAGTCAACACTGCGGTGACGAAGAGAGGGGGGGGATGTATGGGAGGAGGGGATTGGGCGGGGATGAGGGCTGTGGGAGGATTTGAGGTGTTTTGAAAAGGCTTTGTGAGGCTTCTCAAGGGCTGTGCGGTAGGCGGGGCTGGAAGCGCAACGAGAGGGCGCATGGCACGGTGCATGAGGGGCATGCGTGGACATTGACTGGCGCCTAGTCAACACTACGGTGACGAAGAGAGGGGGGGGATGTATGGGAGGAGGGGATTGGGCGGGGATGAGGGCTGTGGGAGGATTTGAGGTGTTTTGAAAAGGCTTTGTGAGGCTTCTCAAGGGCTGTGCGGTAGGCGGGGCTGGAAGCGCAACGAGAGGGCGCATGGCACGGTGCATGAGGGGCATGCGTGGACATTGACTGGCGCCTAGTCAACACTGCGGTGACGAAGAGAGGGGGGGGATGTATGGGAGGAGGGGATTGGGCGGGGATGAGGGCTGTGGGAGGATTTGAGGTGTTTTGAAAAGGCTTTGTGAGGCTTCTCAAGGGCTGTGCGGTAGGCGGGGCTGGAAGCGCAACGAGAGGGCGCATGGCACGGTGCATGAGGGGCATGCGTGGACATTGACTGGCGCCTAGTCAACACTGCGGTGACGAAGAGAGGGGGGGGGATGTATGGGAGGAGGGGATTGGGCGGGGATGAGGGCTGTGGGAGGATTTGAGGTGTTTTGAAAAGGCTTTGTGAGGCTTCTCAAGGGCTGTGCGGTAGGCGGGGCTGGAAGCGCAACGAGAGGGCGCATGGCACGGTGCATGAGGGGCATGCGTGGACATTGACTGGCGCCTAGTCAACACTGCGGTGACGAAGAGAGGGGGGGGGTGTATGGGAGGAGGGGATTGGGCGGGGATGAGGGCTGTGGGAGGATTTGAGGTGTTTTGAAAAGGCTTTGTGAGGCTTCTCAAGGGCTGTGCGGTAGGCGGGGCTGGAAGCGCAACGAGAGGGCGCATGGCACGGTGCATGAGGGGCATGCGTGGACATTGACTGGCGCCTAGTCAACACTGCGGTGACGAAGAGAGGGGGGGGATGTATGGGAGGAGGGGATTGGGCGGGGATGAGGGCTGTGGGAGGATTTGAGGTGTTTTGAAAAGGCTTTGTGAGGCTTCTCAAGGGCTGTGCGGTAGGCGGGGCTGGAAGCGCAACGAGAGGGCGCATGGCACGGTGCATGAGGGGCATGCGTGGACATTGACTGGCGCCTAGTCAACACTGCGGTGACGAAGAGAGGGGGGGGATGTATGGGAGGAGGGGATTGGGCGGGGATGAGGGCTGTGGGAGGATTTGAGGTGTTTTGAAAAGGCTTTGTGAGGCTTCTCAAGGGCTGTGCGGTAGGCGGGGCTGGAAGCGCAACGAGAGGGCGCATGGCACGGTGCATGAGGGGCATGCGTGGACATTGACTGGCGCCTAGTCAACACTGCGGTGACGAAGAGAGGGGGGGGATGTATGGGAGGAGGGGATTGGGCGGGGATGAGGGCTGTGGGAGGATTTGAGGTGTTTTGAAAAGGCTTTGTGAGGCTTCTCAAGGGCTGTGCGGTAGGCGGGGCTGGAAGCGCAACGAGAGGGCGCATGGCACGGTGCATGAGGGGCATGCGTGGACATTGACTGGCGCCTAGTCAACACTGCGGTGACGAAGAGAGGGGGGGGATGTATGGGAGGAGGGGATTGGGCGGGGATGAGGGCTGTGGGAGGATTTGAGGTGTTTTGAAAAGGCTTTGTGAGGCTTCTCAAGGGCTGTGCGGTAGGCGGGGCTGGAAGCGCAACGAGAGGGCGCATGGCACGGTGCATGAGGGGCATGCGTGGACATTGACTGGCGCCTAGTCAACACTGCGGTGACGAAGAGAGGGGGGGGATGTATGGGAGGAGGGGATTGGGCGGGGATGAGGGCTGTGGGAGGATTTGAGGTGTTTTGAAAAGGCTTTGTGAGGCTTCTCAAGGGCTGTGCGGTAGGCGGGGCTGGAAGCGCAACGAGAGGGCGCATGGCACGGTGCATGAGGGGCATGCGTGGACATTGACTGGCGCCTAGTCAACACTGCGGTGACGAAGAGAGGGGGGGGATGTATGGGAGGAGGGGATTGGGCGGGGATGAGGGCTGTGGGAGGATTTGAGGTGTTTTGAAAAGGCTTTGTGAGGCTTCTCAAGGGCTGTGCGGTAGGCGGGGCTGGAAGCGCAACGAGAGAGCGCATGGCACGGTGCATGAGGGGCATGCGTGGACATTGACTGGCGCCTAGTCAACACTGCGGTGACGAAGAGAGGGGGGGATGTATGGGAGGAGGGGATTGGGCGGGGATGAGGGCTGTGGGAGGATTTGAGGTGTTTTGAAAAGGCTTTGTGAGGCTTCTCAAGGGCTGTGCGGTAGGCGGGGCTGGAAGCGCAACGAGAGGGCGCATGGCACGGTGCATGAGGGGCATGCGTGGACATTGACTGGCGCCTAGTCAACACTGCGGTGACGAAGAGAGGGGGGGGATGTATGGGAGGAGGGGATTGGGCGGGGATGAGGGCTGTGGGAGGATTTGAGGTGTTTTGAAAAGGCTTTGTGAGGCTTCTCAAGGGCTGTGCGGTAGGCGGGGCTGGAAGCGCAACGAGAGGGCGCATGGCACGGTGCATGAGGGGCATGCGTGGACATTGACTGGCGCCTAGTCAACACTGCGGTGACGAAGAGAGGGGGGGGATGTATGGGAGGAGGGGATTGGGCGGGGATGAGGGCTGTGGGAGGATTTGAGGTGTTTTGAAAAGGCTTTGTGAGGCTTCTCAAGGGCTGTGCGGTAGGCGGGGCTGGAAGCGCAACGAGAGGGCGCATGGCACGGTGCATGAGGGGCATGCGTGGACATTGACTGGCGCCTAGTCAACACTGCGGTGACGAAGAGAGGGGGGGGATGTATGGGAGGAGGGGATTGGGCGGGGATGAGGGCTGTGGGAGGATTTGAGGTGTTTTGAAAAGGCTTTGTGAGGCTTCTCAAGGGCTGTGCGGTAGGCGGGGCTGGAAGCGCAACGAGAGGGCGCATGGCACGGTGCATGAGGGGCATGCGTGGACATTGACTGGCGCCTAGTCAACACTGCGGTGACGAAGAGAGGGGGGGGATGTATGGGAGGAGGGGATTGGGCGGGGATGAGGGCTGTGGGAGGATTTGAGGTGTTTTGAAAAGGCTTTGTGAGGCTTCTCAAGGGCTGTGCGGTAGGCGGGGCTGGAAGCGCAACGAGAGGGCGCATGGCACGGTGCATGAGGGGCATGCGTGGACATTGACTGGCGCCTAGTCAACACTGCGGTGACGAAGAGAGGGGGGGGATGTATGGGAGGAGGGGATTGGGCGGGGATGAGGGCTGTGGGAGGATTTGAGGTGTTTTGAAAAGGCTTTGTGAGGCTTCTCAAGGGCTGTGCGGTAGGCGGGGCTGGAAGCGCAACGAGAGGGCGCATGGCACGGTGCATGAGGGGCATGCGTGGACATTGACTGGCGCCTAGTCAACACTGCGGTGACGAAGAGAGGGGGGGGATGTATGGGAGGAGGGGATTGGGCGGGGATGAGGGCTGTGGGAGGATTTGAGGTGTTTTGAAAAGGCTTTGTGAGGCTTCTCAAGGGCTGTGCGGTAGGCGGGGCTGGAAGCGCAACGAGAGGGCGCATGGCACGGTGCATGAGGGGCATGCGTGGACATTGACTGGCGCCTAGTCAACACTGCGGTGACGAAGAGAGGGCGGGGATGTATGGGAGGAGGGGATTGGGCGGGGATGAGGGCTGTGGGAGGATTTGAGGTGTTTTGAAAAGGCTTTGTGAGGCTTCTCAAGGGCTGTGCGGTAGGCGGGGCTGGAAGCGCAACGAGAGGGCGCATGGCACGGTGCATGAGGGGCATGCGTGGACATTGACTGGCGCCTAGTCAACACTACGGTGACGAAGAGAGGGGGGGGATGTATGGGAGGAGGGGATTGGGCGGGGATGAGGGCTGTGGGAGGATTTGAGGTGTTTTGAAAAGGCTTTGTGAGGCTTCTCAAGGGCTGTGCGGTAGGCGGGGCTGGAAGCGCAACGAGAGGGCGCATGGCACGGTGCATGAGGGGCATGCGTGGACATTGACTGGCGCCTAGTCAACACTGCGGTGACGAAGAGAGGGGGGGGATGTATGGGAGGAGGGGATTGGGCGGGGATGAGGGCTGTGGGAGGATTTGAGGTGTTTTGAAAAGGCTTTGTGAGGCTTCTCAAGGGCTGTGCGGTAGGCGGGGCTGGAAGCGCAACGAGAGGGCGCATGGCACGGTGCATGAGGGGCATGCGTGGACATTGACTGGCGCCTAGTCAACACTGCGGTGACGAAGAGAGGGGGGGGATGTATGGGAGGAGGGGATTGGGCGGGGATGAGGGCTGTGGGAGGATTTGAGGTGTTTTGAAAAGGCTTTGTGAGGCTTCTCAAGGGCTGTGCGGTAGGCGGGGCTGGAAGCGCAACGAGAGGGCGCATGGCACGGTGCATGAGGGGCATGCGTGGACATTGACTGGCGCCTAGTCAACACTGCGGTGACGAAGAGAGGGGGGGGATGTATGGGAGGAGGGGATTGGGCGGGGATGAGGGCTGTGGGAGGATTTGAGGTGTTTTGAAAAGGCTTTGTGAGGCTTCTCAAGGGCTGTGCGGTAGGCGGGGCTGGAAGCGCAACGAGAGGGCGCATGGCACGGTGCATGAGGGGCATGCGTGGACATTGACTGGCGCCTAGTCAACACTGCGGTGACGAAGAGAGGGGGGGGATGTATGGGAGGAGGGGATTGGGCGGGGATGAGGGCTGTGGGAGGATTTGAGGTGTTTTGAAAAGGCTTTGTGAGGCTTCTCAAGGGCTGTGCGGTAGGCGGGGCTGGAAGCGCAACGAGAGGGCGCATGGCACGGTGCATGAGGGGCATGCGTGGACATTGACTGGCGCCTAGTCAACACTGCGGTGACGAAGAGAGGGGGGGGATGTATGGGAGGAGGGGATTGGGCGGGGATGAGGGCTGTGGGAGGATTTGAGGTGTTTTGAAAAGGCTTTGTGAGGCTTCTCAAGGGCTGTGCGGTAGGCGGGGCTGGAAGCGCAACGAGAGGGCGCATGGCACGGTGCATGAGGGGCATGCGTGGACATTGACTGGCGCCTAGTCAACACTGCGGTGACGAAGAGAGGGGGGGGATGTATGGGAGGAGGGGATTGGGCGGGGATGAGGGCTGTGGGAGGATTTGAGGTGTTTTGAAAAGGCTTTGTGAGGCTTCTCAAGGGCTGTGCGGTAGGCGGGGCTGGAAGCGCAACGAGAGGGCGCATGGCACGGTGCATGAGGGGCATGCGTGGACATTGACTGGCGCCTAGTCAACACTGCGGTGACGAAGAGAGGGGGGGGATGTATGGGAGGAGGGGATTGGGCGGGGATGAGGGCTGTGGGAGGATTTGAGGTGTTTTGAAAAGGCTTTGTGAGGCTTCTCAAGGGCTGTGCGGTAGGCGGGGCTGGAAGCGCAACGAGAGGGCGCATGGCACGGTGCATGAGGGGCATGCGTGGACATTGACTGGCGCCTAGTCAACACTGCGGTGACGAAGAGAGGGGGGGGATGTATGGGAGGAGGGGATTGGGCGGGGATGAGGGCTGTGGGAGGATTTGAGGTGTTTTGAAAAGGCTTTGTGAGGCTTCTCAAGGGCTGTGCGGTAGGCGGGGCTGGAAGCGCAACGAGAGGGCGCATGGCACGGTGCATGAGGGGCATGCGTGGACATTGACTGGCGCCTAGTCAACACTGCGGTGACGAAGAGAGGGGGGGGATGTATGGGAGGAGGGGATTGGGCGGGGATGAGGGCTGTGGGAGGATTTGAGGTGTTTTGAAAAGGCTTTGTGAGGCTTCTCAAGGGCTGTGCGGTAGGCGGGGCTGGAAGCGCAACGAGAGGGCGCATGGCACGGTGCATGAGGGGCATGCGTGGACATTGACTGGCGCCTAGTCAACACTGCGGTGACGAAGAGAGGGGGGGGATGTATGGGAGGAGGGGATTGGGCGGGGATGAGGGCTGTGGGAGGATTTGAGGTGTTTTGAAAAGGCTTTGTGAGGCTTCTCAAGGGCTGTGCGGTAGGCGGGGCTGGAAGCGCAACGAGAGGGCGCATGGCACGGTGCATGAGGGGCATGCGTGGACATTGACTGGCGCCTAGTCAACACTGCGGTGACGAAGAGAGGGGGGGGATGTATGGGAGGAGGGGATTGGGCGGGGATGAGGGCTGTGGGAGGATTTGAGGTGTTTTGAAAAGGCTTTGTGAGGCTTCTCAAGGGCTGTGCGGTAGGCGGGGCTGGAAGCGCAACGAGAGGGCGCATGGCACGGTGCATGAGGGGCATGCGTGGACATTGACTGGCGCCTAGTCAACACTGCGGTGACGAAGAGAGGGGGGGGATGTATGGGAGGAGGGGATTGGGCGGGGATGAGGGCTGTGGGAGGATTTGAGGTGTTTTGAAAAGGCTTTGTGAGGCTTCTCAAGGGCTGTGCGGTAGGCGGGGCTGGAAGCGCAACGAGAGGGCGCATGGCACGGTGCATGAGGGGCATGCGTGGACATTGACTGGCGCCTAGTCAACACTGCGGTGACGAAGAGAGGGGGGGGATGTATGGGAGGAGGGGATTGGGCGGGGATGAGGGCTGTGGGAGGATTTGAGGTGTTTTGAAAAGGCTTTGTGAGGCTTCTCAAGGGCTGTGCGGTAGGCGGGGCTGGAAGCGCAACGAGAGGGCGCATGGCACGGTGCATGAGGGGCATGCGTGGACATTGACTGGCGCCTAGTCAACACTGCGGTGACGAAGAGAGGGGGGGGATGTATGGGAGGAGGGGATTGGGCGGGGATGAGGGCTGTGGGAGGATTTGAGGTGTTTTGAAAAGGCTTTGTGAGGCTTCTCAAGGGCTGTGCGGTAGGCGGGGCTGGAAGCGCAACGAGAGGGCGCATGGCACGGTGCATGAGGGGCATGCGTGGACATTGACTGGCGCCTAGTCAACACTGCGGTGACGAAGAGAGGGGGGGGATGTATGGGAGGAGGGGATTGGGCGGGGATGAGGGCTGTGGGAGGATTTGAGGTGTTTTGAAAAGGCTTTGTGAGGCTTCTCAAGGGCTGTGCGGTAGGCGGGGCTGGAAGCGCAACGAGAGGGCGCATGGCACGGTGCATGAGGGGCATGCGTGGACATTGACTGGCGCCTAGTCAACACTGCGGTGACGAAGAGAGGGGGGGGATGTATGGGAGGAGGGGATTGGGCGGGGATGAGGGCTGTGGGAGGATTTGAGGTGTTTTGAAAAGGCTTTGTGAGGCTTCTCAAGGGCTGTGCGGTAGGCGGGGCTGGAAGCGCAACGAGAGGGCGCATGGCACGGTGCATGAGGGGCATGCGTGGACATTGACTGGCGCCTAGTCAACACTGCGGTGACGAAGAGAGGGGGGGGATGTATGGGAGGAGGGGATTGGGCGGGGATGAGGGCTGTGGGAGGATTTGAGGTGTTTTGAAAAGGCTTTGTGAGGCTTCTCAAGGGCTGTGCGGTAGGCGGGGCTGGAAGCGCAACGAGAGGGCGCATGGCACGGTGCATGAGGGGCATGCGTGGACATTGACTGGCGCCTAGTCAACACTGCGGTGACGAAGAGAGGGGGGGGATGTATGGGAGGAGGGGATTGGGCGGGGATGAGGGCTGTGGGAGGATTTGAGGTGTTTTGAAAAGGCTTTGTGAGGCTTCTCAAGGGCTGTCCGGTAGGCGGGGCTGGAAGCGCAACGAGAGGGCGCATGGCACGGTGCATGAGGGGCATGCGTGGACATTGACTGGCGCCTAGTCAACACTGCGGTGACGAAGAGAGGGGGGGGATGTATGGGAGGAGGGGATTGGGCGGGGATGAGGGCTGTGGGAGGATTTGAGGTGTTTTGAAAAGGCTTTGTGAGGCTTCTCAAGGGCTGTGCGGTAGGCGGGGCTGGAAGCGCAACGAGAGGGCGCATGGCACGGTGCATGAGGGGCATGCGTGGACATTGACTGGCGCCTAGTCAACACTGCGGTGACGAAGAGAGGGGGGGGATGTATGGGAGGAGGGGATTGGGCGGGGATGAGGGCTGTGGGAGGATTTGAGGTGTTTTGAAAAGGCTTTGTGAGGCTTCTCAAGGGCTGTGCGGTAGGCGGGGCTGGAAGCGCAACGAGAGGGCGCATGGCACGGTGCATGAGGGGCATGCGTGGACATTGACTGGCGCCTAGTCAACACTGCGGTGACGAAGAGAGGGGGGGGATGTATGGGAGGAGGGGATTGGGCGGGGATGAGGGCTGTGGGAGGATTTGAGGTGTTTTGAAAAGGCTTTGTGAGGCTTCTCAAGGGCTGTGCGGTAGGCGGGGCTGGAAGCGCAACGAGAGGGCGCATGGCACGGTGCATGAGGGGCATGCGTGGACATTGACTGGCGCCTAGTCAACACTGCGGTGACGAAGAGAGGGGGGGGATGTATGGGAGGAGGGGATTGGGCGGGGATGAGGGCTGTGGGAGGATTTGAGGTGTTTTGAAAAGGCTTTGTGAGGCTTCTCAAGGGCTGTGCGGTAGGCGGGGCTGGAAGCGCAACGAGAGGGCGCATGGCACGGTGCATGAGGGGCATGCGTGGACATTGACTGGCGCCTAGTCAACACTACGGTGACGAAGAGAGGGGGGGGATGTATGGGAGGAGGGGATTGGGCGGGGATGAGGGCTGTGGGAGGATTTGAGGTGTTTTGAAAAGGCTTTGTGAGGCTTCTCAAGGGCTGTGCGGTAGGCGGGGCTGGAAGCGCAACGAGAGGGCGCATGGCACGGTGCATGAGGGGCATGCGTGGACATTGACTGGCGCCTAGTCAACACTACGGTGACGAAGAGAGGGGGGGGGATGTATGGGAGGAGGGGATTGGGCGGGGATGAGGGCTGTGGGAGGATTTGAGGTGTTTTGAAAAGGCTTTGTGAGGCTTCTCAAGGGCTGTGCGGTAGGCGGGGCTGGAAGCGCAACGAGAGGGCGCATGGCCATTGCATGAGGGGCATGTGGACATTGATTGGGCATGTGGACATTGATTGGGCATGTGGACATTGATTGGAGCTTGGTCAACACCACTGTGAGGAAGGGGGGGGGAGGGATGGGCGAGGGTGAGGGCTGTGTGGGAATTTGAGGTGGCTCGGGAAGGCTTTGTGAGACATCATGGTGGGAGAAGCATGACCCTCATTTCCTTGCACGCCATGCCACCGATGTCATGGTCACTTTCTCCCGACACGCTTCTCCCCCACTCCCCCCTCCACCCCCAGTGTTAAAAAGCCCTCCAACCACCCTCCACCCCTCTCCACCCCTCTCTACTCCTCTCCAATCCTCTCCACCCCTCTCGACCCCTCCCCATGCCAGGTGCGGGAGATAACGTGGGCAGTGTACGCATCAAACGAGGCGCAGGTATCATCGGTGTTCTTTGGGTCGGTGAACGGGCTCTTTATGAGCTACGCCTCCACCGCCCAGCAGCGCTTCTGCATCTACAGCACCCAACCCCACCACTTCCCCACTCTCCAACCCCCTCAAATCCTCCCCATTCCAGGTGCAGGAGATGACGTGGACAGTATGTGTGGCACCTCAACATCCCTCCAACCCCCACCTCCGCCCCTCTCCACCACCCTCCACTCCCCCCCCCGCCCCCTTTACCAGGTGCGGGAGATAACGTGGGCAGTGTACGCATCAAACGAGGCGCGGGTATCATCGGTGTTCTTCGGGTCGGTGAACGGGCTCTTCATGAGCTACGCCTCCACCGCCCAGCAGCGCTTCTGCATCTACAGCACCCACCCCCACCACCACATCTCACTCACCAAGGCCCAGAACTTCACCTCGCAGGTGAGAGCTGGGGGGAAGAGGTTGGGGATGCAGGGATATGGGGTTTGCAGGGGGCTGGGGAATGGGGATGGCTGGGGAAGGTGGTGGCTGGGGGAGGTGGGGGGTGCATCTACAGCACCCACCCCCACCACCACGTCTCGCTCACCAAGGCCCAGAACTTCACCTCGCAGGTGGGCGCTGGGGGAAGGTGGTGGGAACTGCAGGGGAGATGGGAACTGCAGGGGAGACGGGAACTGCAGGGGAGGCGGGAACTGCAGGGGAGGTGGGATGGGAACTGCAGGGGAGGTGGGAGCTGCAGGGGAGGTGGGAACTGCAGGGGAGGGGGGAACTGCAGGGGAGGTGGGAACTGCCAATCTACCTAAGCTGTCATAAATTCCCGTATTCCGCCACGTGCCCCTTCCATGCCCTGCCCCCTGCCCCTTGCCCCTTGCCCCTGCCCCTGCCCTTGCCCCTGCCCCCTGTCTCTCCCCCTGCGCTGCCGCTGCTCCGCTCTTCTGCTTCTTGCACCCCCCGGTGCCACTTGTCAGCCTGTGATTGGCCCAACAGCGCTGTCTCTAAGCAACACCACGTACAGCCTCAACGGCACTGCGGTCACGGACGTGTGGCCACTCTCCCCGCCTCCCGCTCGCCAGGTGAGAATCTCGCCGTTCGCTCCAGAGACGTCTCAAAAGCCAAACTCGCTCTCTCCCTGAACCGCACTGCACTCACTGTCACCGAATAGACAGTGAAGAGTATGTTCTGGTAGTACCACGTACGTACAGCCTCAACGGCACTGCGGTCACGGACGTGTGGCCGCTCTCACCCCCTCCCGCTCGCCAGGTGAGTGAGACTGAGACTCTCACCACCGCTCTTGACACGTCTCAAAAGTTAATGGCCTGGCCTGTCTGTCCCTTCACATACAGTCTCAACGGCACTGCGGTCACGGACATGTGGCCGCTTTCGCCGCCTCCCGCTCACCAGGTGAGACTCTCCCTCCTTGCTCACTCTCTCTCTCTCACGTTCATGGCTTGCATTGCATTCACACGCGCACAACACAGATACATCATACATGCACACATGCATGCATACATGCAGTCGACTTAAAAGTCTCCTCCCCGACCCCCTTCCCCCTTCCTCCCAGGTGGAGTGGGCGGTGGCGCAAGTAACCAACGACACCCCGCCCATGACCTTTGGGTTCGCCACCGTTGCTCCCAGCACCCTGCCTGCTGCCTTGAGTCGTCTCAGAAGCCTTTTCCTCCCCAACCCAACCCCTCTCCCGCCTTTCCCAGGTGGAGTGGACCGCGGCGAGAGTAACAAAGAACACCCCTCCTGTGATCTTCCAGGCGTCTCAAAAGCCTTTTCCTCCGCGACGCGACCCCTCTCCCCCAACCCAACCCCTCTTCCAGGTGGAGTGGGCAGTGGCGCAAGTAACCAACGACACCCCGCCAATGATCTTTGCCTTTGCCACCGTCGCTTCCAGCACCCTGCTGCCTTTAGAGTCGACTCACAAGTCTTCTCCTCCCCGACCGCCTTACCCCCATTCCCCCCCCTCTCCCAGGTGGAGTGGGCAGTGGCGCAAGTAACCAACGACACCCCGCCCATGATCTTTGCCTTTGCCACCGTCGCCCCCAGCACCCTGCTGCTCGCCCCCATCTCCTCCACCTCCCCTCCCCCTGGAGCCACCGCCCCCATAGGGGGAGTGCTGCGCCAGGGGGGGGAGGCAGGGCAGGGCGGGGAGGGGGAGGTGACACCTGGGGCGGGTTCGCTGGGGTATGCGGGGATAGCGGGTGTGGCTCAGCCTCTGGAGGGCGTTCACCGGTTTATTGAGCAGCTGGATCTGCTGGATGGGCTGCTCTATGTCGTGTGGTGAGTGAGCGAGGCGAGTGGTGTGTGGTGATTGCTGCTCTGTGTTGTGGTGGTGAGTGATTACTCTTCTGTGTTCTGTGGTGTGGTGAGTGAACGAGTGGTGTGTGGTGATTGCTGCTCTGTGTTGTGGTGGTGAGTGATTACTCTTCTGTGTTCTGTGGTGAGTGCTGCTGGTGTGACGTGGGGAAGGTGCAAGGAATTGGATTTGGGGAGGGTGAGGGGAGAAGGAGGTGAGTGGTGCTCTATGTTGTTACAATGTTGCCTCCTCTCCCACCAACAGTAACCTCTACACCAGCCCCACACACTCTCCCCTACCCTCTCTCGCCCTCTCTCCGTCTCTCTCCTCTCTTCCCCCACTCCGCAACCCCTTTCCAACGGTGTGAAATTCGAAATTATCAGGTTCAACAACAGCGATGCGCGGGTGATTGCCTCCTCGGCCACCAACAGCACGCTCTTCACCGCCCCCACGCTCTCCAACAACGCTCTCTCCCTCTCCCGTTCCCTCTCCCGTTCCCTCTCCCGTTCCCTCTCCCGTTCCCTCTCCCGTTCCCTCTCCCTCTCCTCAGGTTCAACGGCAGCGATGCGCGGGTGATTGCCTCTTCGGCCACCAACAGCACGCTCTACACCGCCCCCATCTGCATCCCCCACCCCCTCCCAACAACCCCCCCTTCTCAAACGGCCCCCCTTCTCCCCCACAGGTTCAACAACAGCGATGCGCGGGTGATTGCCTCCTCGGCCACCAACAGCACGCTCTTCACCGACCCCACGCTCTCCAACAACGCTCTCTCCCTCTCCCGTTCCCTCTCCCGTTCCCTCTCCCGTTCCCTCTCCCGTTCCCTCTCCCTCTCCTCAGGTTCAACGGCAGCGATGCGCGGGTGATTGCCTCCTCGGCCACCAACAGCACGCTCTTCACCGCCCCCACGCTCTCCAACAACGCTCTCCTCGCCATGGCCGCGCGCTTCCTGGAAGCTTCCTTCTCCATGCAGGACCTGCTGCGCGCGTGCACGTTCTCGGATCGGGTCAGCGGCAATCCCGAGGCGCCCGACAGCCAGTACTATGTTGACAGCTGTCCGCTGTCCTCGCCCCTCTTTGACAACCTGCAGCTGGTGAGAGGGGGGGCGGAGAGAGAGGAGGGTGGGTGGGGGGTAAGGAAGGGGGAGGCGGGGGAAGCTGGGGAAGGGGGGAAAGGGGGGAAAGGGGGGAAAGCTATGGGCGGCAGTCAGAGGAATGTGGACGAGGCGAGAGTGAATGACATTGACACCTCCCATCCCATCACAGCGGCACCATGGCAGTAAGACAGACAGACCAAGTTGGCTCTTGAACATTCCGCCCTCCACCCCACTACCCAACCCACTGCCCACCCCACTGCCCCCACCCCCCACTGTCCACCCCGCACCTACCTTTGCACCTATTATCAGGTGGTGGTGGGTGGCGATGATTTCGTGCAGCAGCTTCATGAGGGCGATACCGATAGAGACCAAGTTGGCTTTTTAACGTCAGGCCCTGCATCCCTCTGCCCACCCCCCCCCCCCCACTGCGCACCCCCGCACCTCACTTTGCCCTTCACAGGTGGTGGTGGCGGTGATCCCGCGCAGCAGCATCATGGGGGCCATAGAGACCAAGTTTGCTGCTGGGCATTCCGCCCTCTACCCCACCGTCCACCCCACTTCCCACCCCTGCACCTCACTCTGCCCTTCACAGGTGGTGGTGGCGGTGATCCCGCGCAGCAGCATCATGGGGGCGATAGAGACGGGCAGCACGGTAACGGTGTGGTCCTGCTTTGCCATGTCGCTGGGACTGCTGTTCGCGGGATGCCTGCTCATCCTCAAGATGACCTCGCGCATCAACGTCGAGTGGGAACTCAAGCAGGTGCGGTGCTGTGGGAGTCTCTCTTGTGCAGTGCGGTGCTATGTGGTGATGCTATGCAGTGTGGTCATGTCGCTGAGGCTGCTGCTCGTTGGCTGTCTGCTCATCCTCAAGATGACCTCGCGCATCAACGTCGAGTGGGAACTCAAGCAGGTGCGGTGCGAGTGAGTCTGTGTTGTGCTGTGCGGAGGGAGTAGTGCGGTGCGGTGCGGTGATGCTATGCATGCAGTGTGGTGTGGCCGTGCTGGAGCAGCTGCTTTTGAGGCGCCTAAAAAGCACACTTATTTCACGTGTGTTGTGCCGTGCGGAGGGAGTAGTGCGGTGCGGTGATGTGATGCTATGCATGCAGTGCGGTTGTGCTGTGAGACTGCAGCCGCTTCCCTCGCAGGATCTTATTCAACAGTTAGCAATCAAGGACCGTGCAGAGTTGAGAAAAGCCTCACAACCCTCCTCCTTGCCCTCCCCCACCTCCACTTCCCACTTCCCCCGTCCCCCTCCCCCATTACCGCCCTCTCTCCCCCGCCCTCTCCCCTCCCCCTCCCCTCACCTCGCCCCCTGTACAGGAGCTGATTCGGCAGCTGACAGCCAAGGACCAGGCAGAGAAGTCGAGCAACTTTAAGAGCCAGTTCCTCGCCAACATGAGGTGCGCGCGAGAGAGCAGCGGCGGTTGAGCAGGAGGGAGAGACGAGAGCAGAGGAGAGTGAACAGGGCCGCGAGGGCAGGGGCGCGAGGGCAGGGGAGAGACGAGGGGAGGGAGGAGGGGAGAGTGGTGGGGAGGGTGGAGGTAGCCAGTGCGAAAATGCTACACTTGAGCTGTGAGAGAAAGTGCGCCCTTGAGTCCACAAAACAAGTGTGCCATGTCACATTGCCACCTTCAACAGCCAGATTCCAAATTCATCCCACCCATCCCTCTCCTACGCTGCTCCCCAGCTGCTTGTCTACCAGTTGGTCGTTGAGAATTCTCAAAATCAGTTCCTCCACTCCTTTCCTTGTGTGTACCCCTGTCCTGCTTCCCTCTTACCTCTTATACCACTTCTGCCTTGCCCCCTGCACCCCCAACCGAACACCCACCACCAACACCCCCCCCCCCCCCCCCCGTTTCCCCCCCACACCTCCTTTTCCCCCCACTCCTATCCCCTTGCCTTCCTTCCCCTCCCCCCTCCTCCCCCAAGCCACGAGCTGCGCACGCCCATAGCGGGCATCATAGGCCTCTTGGACCTGCTGTCCTGCGAGGCGCTGTCAGAGGAGCAGGAGGTCATGGTGGCTCAGATCCGCCGCTGCCCGTGTCTTCCCTCCCTCCTACCTCTCCACCCACACTTGCGCCTTCCCCCCTGCACACCCCACCAACCCCCCGCGCCCCACCAACAACCCAACAGCCTCCCTCCAACACACTCCACCAACACCCTCCCTCTCCCCACCCCCCTCCCCCTCCCCCTCCCCCTCCCCCTCCCCCTCCCCCTCCCCCTCCTTTCAGCCACGAGCTGCGCACGCCCATAGCGGGCATCATTGGTCTCTTGGACCTGCTGTCATGCGAGGCCCTCTCGGAGGAGCAGGAGGTCATGGTGGCTCAGATCCGCCGCTGCGCTGGGGGGCTGCTGGCGCTCGTCAACAACGTGCTGGACATCAGCCATGTGAGACAAGGGAGGGAGAGTGTGTGGGGGGGGGGCGATTTGAAGGGATCTATGCTGGGGGAAAGCATTATGTGGGGGGGCTGCTGGCGCTCGTGAACAACGTGCTGGACATCAGCCATGTGAGACAAGGGAGGAATGGGAAGGTGGGAAGGGGTGGGGTGTTGGGGGGGGAGATGCCTGAGGAGGAGGGGGTCTGGGAAGGGTGGGAGGGTGGGCGGGTGTGCGTGTTGGGGGAGGAGCCTCGGAAATCGCTGCGCTGGGGGGCTGCTAGTGCTCGTGAACAATGTGCTGGATATCAGGCATGTGAGACAAGGGAGTGTGGGGAGGGAGGAAGGGGTGGGGTGGGGGGGGAGAATCCTTGAGGAGGCTTGGGAGCCGCTGTGCTGGGGGGCTGCGGGCGCTCGTGAACAACGTGCTGGGCATCAGCCATGTGAGGGAGGCGAGGGGGGATGGGAGGGTGGGTTTGCTGGGGGGTTTATGAAGGAGCGAAAAGAATCTCAAGCCTGACGCAAACCTCACCCTGTAGCCACACCGCCCCCACACCCACCCACCCCCTTCATGCCTGTTTCCAAGTGTTCCTCTTCCCGAGGTGCCTCAGTCAAAGCACACCCGCCTCGTACCCCCCCACACACCACCCCCCCCCATCCTAACCCCTCGTCTTTCCTGGTTTGTCTTGACTATGTCTTTCGTGGTCCCCACATCTCTCTCTTGCGTGCAGGTGGAGTCGGGGGTGTTGGAGCTGGCAGTGGCGCCGTTCCACGTGCTGGAGGAGGAGCTAGAGGCGCTCTTGGTCGGCACTGCAGACCTGACCCAACCCTCACCCTGCGGCGCTCACACTGTCCCCATGCCTCCCCCACCCCTCTCCTCCTCATGTATCTTGTGTGTTTCGTCACCCCATGTATTTCCTGCGTGCAGGTGGAGTCGGGGGTGTTGGAGCTGGCAGTGGCGCCGTTCCACGTGCTGGAGGAGCTAGAGGCGCTCGTGGATCTCTTCTCAGTGCACTGCATCCCCCACGACATTGACATCGCTCTAGACGTCTCCGGTGCGTGCCGTGCTGCGCTGCGCTGCGCTGTGCTGTGCTCGTGCTGTGTTGCTTGTCAAAGCGCCTTTGTATTGTTTTCAATGTGTCTCACGTCTCTAGAGACTCTGCACCAGTGCTGGTGGGTGGGTCTCTCCTCAGTGCACTGCATCCCACACGACATTGACATTGCTCTAGACGTCTCCGGTGCGTGCAGGAGCACTGATTGTGTTTTTGGACGTTCTGATTCACAGTCCCAGCTATCTTCCACCCACCCCCCCCCCCCCCCCTTTCTTAAACAACTTTCCCCTGCTGGGTGGTCCTTGAGAACCAAACGTCCGCACTTCCTCCGTTTTTTAGTCGACTAAGAAACAGGCCCTCACTTCCCCTCGCCCCACATCTCTCCCCCATTTTTGCATCCCGTTCTCTTCCCCCTCTCCTCCCCCTCCTCCCCCACCCCCCGGCTTCTGTCTCCCCTCCTCCTCCTCCCTGCCTTCCCCCTACCCCTCTTTTCCTTCCGCCCGCCCAGACGACTTCCCCCTGGTGGTGATAGGCGATGCAGGGCGGTTCCGGCAGGTGCTCACGAACCTGCTGGCGAATTCAGTGAAGTTTACAGTCAAGGGGCACATCGTGGTGCGCGCGTGGGTGGAGAGCAAGCAGGTGCGTGCCGTGCACACGTGTGTGGGCGTGTGTGGGTTTGTGTGGTTGTGTGCGTGTGTCGAATGTCTGCTGAAATACGAGTGTGTGTGAGAGAGAGGGGAGAGGGTTAGGGTAAGAGAGAGGGAGCGCGGGAGGAAGACAGTGAACAATTCCCGACCCAATCACCTTTTCTCCTCCCTCCCCCTCCAAACCTCCACTCCCTCTTTTCCTCCACTCCCTCCCCACTGCTCCCCCCACTCCCCTTTTCTTCTCCCCAGCCCCTAGCAGAGGACCCTCTGTCCTTCTTCGGGCTAGGATCCGCCCTCCCATTCACCACCACCCACTCCTCCTTCCCTCCCTCCCCACTCTCCCCTGCTTTCTCCCACTCCCGCCCCACTTCCCCTTCTTCCCCCCAGCCCCTAGCAGAGGACCCGCTATCCTTCTTCGGGCTAGGATCCGCCCTCCCATTCACCACCACCCATTCCTCCTCCACCACCGCCTCTCTCCCTGGCAACCGCCACTCCGCCGCGTCCTCTGCTGCTGCTGCAGCCCCCCGCACACACCACTCCAGCACATTCCTCCGCCCCTCCATCTCCACCACTCCAAGCATGCTCAACGGCCCGCCGCTTGTCCCTATGTCTGCCCTCGCCGGCCCTCTCACCAGCAGACGTACCGAGTCTATGGTAGGGTATAGCTGGTCTAGCCTGCAGGTCTCGTCTAGCGGCCGCCCCTGGGGGGCAATGGGAGGGGTTGGGAGCGGTGGGGCGCGGGGAGGCGGAGGCGGGAGGAGGAGAAGCATTGCTGGGTCAGTGAGTGGGTTTAAACTGGACGGTGGAGGGATGGGGGCGGGGGCGGGAGGCGGCGCAGGGGAGGTGGAGGAGGAGGAGGTGGTGTTGGTATTCGAGGTGGACGATACAGGGTGTGGGATTCCCGTAGACAAGCGGGAGCAGGTGTTTGGCAGCTTCGTACAGGTTGATTCGTCCTCCACACGCACGCACGGAGGGTCCGGCCTGGGGCTTTATATTGTGCGGGGGTTGGTGGAGTTGATGGGAGGGGGTATTGCAGTAGGGGATAAGGACGAGCAGGGCACGCTGATGCGGTTCCATATCCGGTTGAAGATTCCCCCGCCCCCCTCACCTCCCCCTCCGCTGTTGCAGCTGCCGCTTCCCGGGCTTGGGGGGCCTGTTAGGTGCGTGGGGGGAACGGGAAGGGGGAGGGGGAGGTGGGGGAAGAAAGGGTAGGGAAGGGGAAATGGAAGGGGGACGGGGGGGAGAAGGGAAGTCGAAGGGGAAGAGGGAGGAGAAAGGGGACAGAGAAGGGAGGGTCAGCGCTTTTCGCTCTTCTTATCATTTTTCCAGTCTATTCCGTTCCCTGCGTCTATCTCTCTTCTTTCACCCTCCCTCCCCATCCCCTTCCCCTCCCCGTCTCCTCACCACCTCTTGTGCCCCTCCCAATACCTCCCATGCTCTAGCCGTCCGTTGCTCTCTCTTTCTCTCACACACCCTTTCGCTCCCCCCCCCCTCCTCTCCTCCCTGCCAACCACTCCCTTCCGGAACCATCACCTGTACTCATCTCTCTCTCCTCCCCGCTCCCCCCTCCTCCCTCTGCTACTATCCCAGGTACGGTTCTGGCATTCCGTTGATACAAGACACGGACTCCGCCAGTGTCACATCAGGCCTAGAGGGGGGCGTGCAGGCTGTGGCCTCCGCTCCTCCTGCTACCGCTGCTGCAGCGGGCGGGGAGAGCAGCGTAGGAGGAGGAGGAGAGGGAGCGGGAGTGGGAGGGGAAGAGGGAGAGGCAGAGAGTCCGTCTGATTGGGGTGCTGGCGGTATGGGGGGCAGTGGGCCGGGCCGTTCCTCCTCCACCATAGGAGGCAGCTCTGCCGTTTCGGGACTTAGCGGTTTACGCGCTTTCCTCGGCATGTCTGGCACTCTTGCTCCTGGTAGCAACGACCTGGGTGCTGCTTGGACCGGGTTGAATCGAGCCGGGTCAGGAATAGGAGTAGCCGGAGGGGTGGGAGGAGGAGGCGGAGGAGGAGGAGGAGGAGCAGGGCAGCAGCTGAGCGTGCCTCTTCAGAGAGTAACCCACAGTTCGCTACTAGACGGGACGCAGGATTTGACCGGTGGAATCGGAGGAGCAGGGGGGGGAGGAGCGGGGCAAGGAGGAGGAGTGAGAATGAAGTGGCATGTGCTCCTAGCCATGTCGGAATGCCCGGGGAAAGCCGTGGCCTCTCGCTGGTTCGAAGGGCAGGGGCTTGCAGTGAAGCAGGTGCGGTCGTGGGATAGTATCTTCCCCAGCCTGAGCTATGTCCTGCATGCATCCGCCATGCCCTCTGTTGCTTCTGGGACTGGGAGCACCCGGTCGGGGCAGGGTGGGGCGGGTGGGCGTGGGACTGCGAGTGGTGCCCCTTCCGCCAGCGCTAGTGCGGTTCAATCTCGCACTGCCACCCCGCGAGGCGTTGCTTCTGCCGGCGCTGGAATCTCCTCTGCTACGGGTACTGCTGCTGCTGCTGCTCGGGCGTTCTCTCCTGCTGCTACTGCCCCTGCGTTCCGCTCAACCTCTCCCCTCATGGCTGGGCCTGGGCTTAGTAGCAGTAGCACGGACTCTGCTCCTGCTGCCATTCGCACCGTCTCAGCAGACCGAGCAGGACGAGCAGGGGGTGGAGGAGGCGGAGTGGTAGGAGTGGGAGGAGGAGGGGGAGGTTTAGGGGCTGGGATAGGGATGGGCGGAGGGGCGACAAGGGGTGGTGGTGGTGGTGTGGCAGGAACGGGTGTGAGTGGACCATCAGCAGCAGCACGGCTGGCAGGGGCACAAGCCCTGCTGCAGGCGTCTCATGTGGGCATGTCTCTCTCCCACAGCAGTCCTGAGCTTGTCACCTCCCCAGCTGCTGTTGCCGCCGCTGCTGCTGCGACCGCCGCCGCCTCTGCTGCTGCGACCGCCGCCGCCTCTGCTGCCTCGGCTGCCGCTGCTGCAGCAGCCGCTGCAGTCGAGTTAGAAGCAGCAGGGGAGGAGCAGAGACTCAGCAACAGCAGCAGCACCGGCGGCGGCGGTGGCGACGGCGGCAGGAGCGGCAGTAGCGGGGGAAGGGGCAGACTGGGAGGGCTGGAGAGCTTCTGGCCGTCTGCAGTGCCGCGATCCAAATCCATACACATAGGCTCAGAGGGGCTCTCAGCCCTCTCTGGCTACTCCCCCAACTCCCTCTCCCCTGCTTCCAACCCAGCTGACAGCAGCAGCGGCGGCGGCGGCGGCGGCGGTGGGGGTGGTAGTACTGGTGCACGCGTGGCAGGGGTGCGAGCGCTGCGCTCGCTCTCCCCTCTCTCGGTCACCGTGCCAGACGCCAACGATGGGCTGCCTGTGGAGGAGCTGTCAGGGGGGAGTGCGAGGGAGGCCACAACAACAGGGATGGTATCGGCGCGCTTTGCTGGCCTCTCCTCCGCTGCTGCTGCTGCTGCCTCTGGGGCCCGCAGCGGTGGGAGTGCTAGTTCTGCTGGTGGTGGCGGTGGCAGTGGTGGTGGGAGTGGGGGTGATGGGGGTGGGAATGGGACCGGCGGGTTGTCTATGAAGTATCGTACTCGGAGTGGCAACCTTGAGATGGTTTCCCGCTCCGCTGTTGCTGCTGGTGCTGCTTCTGCTGGTGGTGGTGGAGTTGGGGGTGGGGGAGGGGACGGCGGTGGGGTTGCAGGTGGCCGTTTGGCATCAGCAGGAGGAGGAGGAGGAGCAGGAGGGGGTGCGAGAGGTGTTTTCTCTTCCTTCCTGTCTGCTAAAGCAGAGCCAATGATGAAAAAGAGCAGCAGCAGCGGCAGCACGGGCGGGGGGATGCTATCCGCCCGCATGGCGGCTGCAGCTGCTGCAGCAGCAGCCACAGGAACAGCCGCAGGAGCCACAGGCTCAGCGGGAGCAGCAGCAGCGGCGGCAGTGGTGGAAGTGTCTTGTATAGCCGTGGTAGTAGACCTAATGCTGCTGCCGTCTGGAAAGCACCTATGCACAGCACCAGCGGATACCAGTGGTTTAGATCCCCTGGCTGTGGGTGCTTCCTCTGCAGGCATGCCTGCTCTCATGCCTTCGTTTGGGGGTAACTTTGATAAATTCGAGGAGGGCTATATGGAGGACGAGTGGGGGAGACCAGTGGGAGGAGGTGGCGGGATGGGCTATGGTGGTGCTTTTGGTGGTGGCGCTGCTGCTGGTGCTGGTGGTATCGGCACTGCTGGCGGTGGAGGGCAAGGCGGTGGGAGGGGAGCAGGAGCGGAAGGAGCAGGCGGGCAGCAGCAGCAGCAGCAGCAGTACCCTCGACAGGTTCCGCCAGAGGTGGGAAAGCTCTGTGAGGAGATGAAGACGCTGCGAGGGAAGCGGTGTAAGGCGAACCAGAACCTGCTGGTGGTGTGGCTGTTGCCGCCTGGGGTGAACCCGGTTATACGGAGGTTCCTGCAGCAGCAGCCGAATACGGTGCTGACTTCTCGGCCGCTGCACTCGTCCCGTCTTCGAAATCTGCACACGGCGTTGGTCCGCCTTGTTTCGTCGGCTTCCAGTGAGGGGGCTGGTGGTGGTGGTGGCGGCGGCATGGGCTTTGATGTTGATGGCACCAGCAGCAGCAGCAACAATAACAACGGCGGCAACAACAGCAGCAAGAATGCGACCAGCACCGGAACAGCCCATACCATCACCCTGAACAATAACAGCACCAGCAACGGCATTAGCAGCAGCATCAGTAACATGTTCTCCTCCTCCTCCTCCACCGCTGGCCCACCCCTCACTTCCTCTCTCTCCGATGTCACCTCTTTCACCCGACTCGTCCCCACCACCCACACATCCCTCGATTTCAACATGGATTCATCAGCTCTCTCCAACTCTGCAGCAGGAGCGGGAAGCTTATCCGGGCGGCTATCCATTAACCGGCCTAGCTTGGGGAGTGTGTGGGAGTCGATAATCAACCGGGGGTTGCCGGGAGTTCCTGGGCCGGGAACCGGAGGTACTGGTGCATTTGGTGGGGCAGCAGGAGCAGCAGGAGGAGGAGGAGGAGGAGCAGGCACAGGGGGGTTGCTGGGGAGGGAAGGGTCGGGGCCTGCTGCGTTCCGCTCTCTCATCACGTCTCCTGTTCAGTCCTCTTCAGGGGTCTCTGGTGGTGCTAGCAGCGCCGCTGCTGCTGCTGGCAGTGCTGCCGCCGCTGCTGCTGGCGGGTTTGGGGCCTCCGCAGGGGTTGGCGCAGTGGCAAGCGCGGGTGCAGCAGGGGGTGGGGCGGGGGGGAGGAGGGCAGGGAGGAGGTCCACAGCAGGGGGAGCAGGGGCAGGGCGAGGGGGGCAGGGGGTGGGGATGGGGGTGGGGGCGGGAGCAGGGCAGCATAGGCGGAGGAGTAGCTTCGATGCGGTGTTGACTCAAGGATTGCTGGCCTCACCACCCGACAGCCATGCAGGAGATTCCGCCACTGCTGCTGCTGCTGCTGCTGCTGCTGCTGCTGCTGCTGCTGCTGCTGCTGGTGCTGGTGCTGGTGCTGGTGGTGGTGGTGGTGGTGGCCGGGGGGGTAGCCTGTTTGACGGTGCAGGTGGTGGGGGTGTGGGAGTGGGTGGGACGGCATTGGGACTAGGGGCGGGCATGTGGGGGCACTCGGCTGTCAACCGTAGTGCTCCCTCTGCTGCTGCTACTAGGGCGACTTTTACCGGTGCCGCTGCAGCTGCTGCTGCTGCCGTGCCTGCTGGTAGTATGGGTGGTGCTGGCATGGGTACAGCAGGAGGCGGCAGGTGGAACTATAGCTCGGGGATGGGAGCAGGGCTGGGAGGAGGGACAGGTATGGGTACAGGCATGGGTATGGGCATGGGCATGGGCATGGGCATGGGTATGGGTATGGGGATGGGCATGGGTATGACAGGCCCATCCCATCTGCCTCCCCTGCAGCGGTCTCGCTCGGAAATACCGCGCATGGGGGGGCAGTTAGAATACTCCTCTGACCGGCCCCAGTCAGGGTCCTCCACTGCTCTGCGTGCTGCTGCTACCTACGGTCTTGCACCTCCAGACCCACTCAATTCCGTCACTTACGGGAGTGGAAGCAGCGGTGCTGGTATGGGTGGTAGTGGTAACAGTAGTGGTTACCAACGGCAGCTGTTGCAGCAGCAGCAGATGCTGTACCAGCAGCAGCAGCAGACGTTTGGGTTGGGATGGGGAGCAGGATCAGGAGCAGGGACGTCTGGAGGAATGGGGGGCATGGGGACCATGGGGACCATGGGGGGAATGGGGGGCGGAATGGGGGGGATGGGGGGGATGGGTCGCAACCGTTTGCTGCCTCTCCCCACGCCTGCGCACCACTCGCCCTTGCACCTGTCTCGGAAGGGAGGGGGGGGACTTCGCCCCATGCACTCCCTGCCTGCTGAGATTTCCCTGTCTGCCCTTACAGGGGGTTCGGGAGGGGGAGGAACAGCAGGAGGGGGTCGAGCCACTGGTGGTGGGGGAGGAGGAGGAGGAGGAGGAGAAGGAGGAGGGGTAGGAGAAGGGAGGGGAGGAGGGAAGGGTGGTCGTGGGGCGGGTGGGCCGGCGGTGGGGGGAAGAGGGGCGGATAACAGGAGAGGGCAAGGGGAAGGCGGTGGAGGAGGAGGGGGTGCTGTTTCAGCAGCAGGAGCAAAGGCAGGAGCAGGAGGAGGGGCAGGAGCAGGAGCGTTAGATGGAGCATCTGTTGCCGGTCCCTCACTCTCCACTGCTGTTGCTCCTCCTCCTCCTACTGCTGATGCTGCTGATGGAGCATCCGATGCTTCACCTCCTCACGTGCACCTCAGTTGCCCCTCCCTCTCCTTCTCCTCCCTCCACACCTCCTCACCATCTTTCTCCCCCATCTCTGACGCGCCTTCTGCTGCCAGTACCGCTACCTTTAACCCTGTTCCACGCGGCACAGCAGAAGATGCACCAGCTGCTGCTGCTGCTTCTGCTGCTGCTGCTGCTGCTGCTAGTGGTGGTGGTGTTGCTGCTGCTGAGCCTCCTACCACAGGAGGAACGAGTCTGTTTGGAACAGCAGCAGCAGCATCACCAGGAGGAGGAGTAGGGGGAGCAGGAGGGGAAGGAGGGGGGGCGTCGGCAGTAAGGCTACGAAGCCAGCGGTCTATCACACTAGGCTCTGCTCCTGCTCCCCCTGCTCTCATCCTCTCCCCCACGCCCTCCCTCACCTCCCCCACGTTTGCCGACCCACTCTCTCCTCAACTTGGATCCTCCTGGACCCATCCCGGCGTCACACCCACCCCTCCCTCGCACACTCCCCCTCCTGCTGCTGCTGTTGCCGGTGCTCCAGAACCTTCCAAACACCCACACTCCCCGCCCACCACCACCACCACCACCACCACCACCGCTGCTGCTGCTGCAGCAGCTGCTGCGGCGGACACCCTTCAGAAATCCCCGAGCGTGCCCCCCATCACACCGCAATCTGACACTTTCCCTCCTGCCGGCACTCCTACCCTGGATACCCCCCAAAAGTCCCCCATTCCCCCTTCGATTCCACGCAAGGGCAGCCACAAGGATATTGCTTCCCTTCTGTCGTCCCTGGGAAGCAGCAGCAGCAGCAGCAGCGGTAGGAGCATGTCTCGGAAAGGCAGTGGGAAGGATTCGAGGGAAGGGGGTGGGGAGGGCGGTCAGGGTGGGTGGAGTGGTGGGAGCGGCGGGAGCAGTGGGAGGAGTATGGTGAGGAAGGGGAGCGGGAGGGAGAGTAGGGAAGGAGGGGAGGATGGTGGGAACGAGGGTGCTGGGAGGAGCAGGTTTGGTATGGGTCGGAAGGGCAGTGGGAAGGATCTACTGGGTCTTGTGGGAGGGGGGAGGAGTAGCACAAAGGGGGATTCGGCATCCTCAGCATCCTCTGCAGCTGCAGCAGCAGCAGCAGCAGCAGGATCGGCGCTGGTGCAAACACCAACATCGTCCTTGGCCTCTCCAGCAGGCTCGTTCACCCCCACTGCAACTACTCCATCAGGAGGAGGAGCAGGAGGGGCAGAAAGCACCACCCCCACCCCCACCAGCACAAGCACCAGCACCCCGACCAGCAGCAGCACTCCGGGGAAACTCGACAAGTCGCAGCCTCTAGCCGGTTACCACGTGTTACTGGTAGAAGACACGGCTATTCTGCAGAAGCTGGCTCAGTCGCTGCTGAAGAAACTGGGAGCAGAGGTGATGGTGGTGGCTGATGGTCAACAGGCTGTCGATGCGGTTACCAGCAGCTGGATTGCTGAAGACGCCCGGCTTGCTGCTGCTGCCGCTGCGAGTGGAGCGGGGAGAGGAGGTGGAGGAGAGGGGGAGAGAGGGGAGGGGGATGGGGAGGGTAGGCGGCCGAGAAGCAGAGGCGGGTGGGATGGTAGTGGTGGGAGTGGTGGTGGGGGGGCGGATGTAGCAGCGGGAGGAGGGGGAGCGCGTGGGGGTCAGAGGGGCGTGGGCAGGGCGGCAAGAGGAAGCAGTAGCGGTGGAGAGGCGTTTGATGTGGTGCTTATGGACTGTCAGGTATGCACGCCTTCCCTCCTCTCAACCCCGCTTCTCCGTCTTCCTTCCCTCCCACGATTGCCTGTGCTGTGCACATGCCTCTTTCAGAATACCTGGGTACGCCACTCGCACTCACAAGGCGAGGGGAGAGGAGAGGAGGGGGTCCGTTCCCCTCGGGTTTCCCTCTCCTCAACTCCGTACCGCAATCCACCCCTGCATGTTTGACGCAACACCCCTGCATGTTTGACGCAACACCCCTGCAATATGCCTGCAAGGATTGAGTTCAGAGCTTTTTGTTTTCTTTTCTTTTCTTCAGCTGTACTAATGACACTCCTCTCTTCCTTGACTCGCTCTCCCTTCCGCTTCCTGCCATCATTGCCATCACTGCCATCATTGCCATCACTGCCATCATTGCCATCACTGCCATCATTGCCATCACTGCCATTGGTGCGGTGCAGATGCCTGTAATGGATGGCTACACTGCCACCCGCACGATCAGGGCGGCAGAGGCGAGAAACGGGCGGCACACAATCATTTGTGCTTTCACTGCACACGCGCTAGCCAGGTGAGAAACATGGAGATGAGACACGTGCAGGTGAGACACGTGCAGGTGAGACACGTGCAGGTGAGAGGCTTTTTGAGCGAACTTTAAAACGCACGGGGGGCACGGTGGTGGAGTCTCGCTGCCTCTCACACCTCTGCTCTCCGTTGTCTCTCATCCCTCAATGCTGTTGCGCTCCTAAATCTTGCATCATCACTCACTCACCCACTCACTCACTCTCCACCCACCAAACGCCTACCGTGGTGGCCTTTTGAGAATTCTCAAAGTATGTGTCTCTTCACACTCTGCTTTCATCTCTTCACACTCTGCTTTCATCTCTTCACACTCTGCTTTCATCTCTTCACACTCTGCTTTCATCTCTTCACACTCTGCTTTCATCTCTTCACACTCTGCTTTCATCTCTTCACACTCTGCTTTCATCTCTTCACACTCTGCTTTCATCTCTTCACACTCTGCTTTCATGTCTTCACACTCTGCTTTCATCTCTTCACACTCTGCTTTCATCTCTTCACACTCTGCTTTCATCTCTTCACACTCTGCTTTCATCTCTTCACACTCTGCTTTCATCTCTTCACACTCTGCTTTCATCTCTTCACACTCTGCTTTCATCTCTTCACACTCTGCTTTCATCTCTTCACACTCTGCTTTCATCTCTTCACACTCTGCTTTCATCTCTTCACACTCTGCTTTCATCTCTTCACACTCTGCTTTCATGTCTTCACACTCTGCTTTCATCTCTTCACACTCTGCTTTCATCTCTTCACACTCTGCTTTCATCTCTCCACACTCTGCTTTCATCTCTTCACACTCTGCTTTCATCTCTCCACACTCTGCTTTCCTCTCCCCACCCGATACTTCCTTTCCGCTCCCCCTCTCTCTGCCTCTTCCTCTCCCGCTGTCTCCGTCCACTCCCCCTCGCGGTGAGCAGTGACGAGGCCAAGTGCAGGCAGTGCGGCACAAATGGGTACCTCACCAAGCAGACTTCTGAGTCGACTCAAAAGTCCTTTCGTCTTCTCCTCTCTCTGCCCCTTCCTCTCCCGCTCTCTCCGTGTCCCCTTGGTGGTGAGCAGTGACGAGGCCAAGTGCAGGCAGTGCGGCATGGATGGGTACCTCACCAAGCCAATAAACATCCGGTACGGTACACACGCGTGCCTTGCTTGCATGCTGAGACAGGGCATGGCATGGCATGTGATGGCATGGCATGATATGGCATGGCGTGGGCTGCATGGCATGGCATGGCGTGGGCTGCATGGCATGGCATGGCGTGGGCTGCATGGCATGGCATGTGACGGCATGGCATGGGCCGCATGGCATGGCATGAGAGAGCTGCACTTGTCTGCATCGCATCCCTTTCACACCCACCCTTGTCTCTGTTCCACCAGGCAGCCGTTCACATGCCCACCTTCCACTACTCCCATTCCTCCTCCATCCCTCCTCCCACTCATCCTCGAATCCCTCCTCCCCCCGCTCTTCTCCCTGCCTCGCCCCTCCACCCCGTCCCTCCCCCCCCATGCCCCATCAGGCTGCTAGTGGAGACCATTCACAAGCTCACCCGCAAGAAGAGCATTCTTGCACGCCCGCCCTCCTCAGGAGGAGGAGGAGGAGCACAGTAGAACGTGGCACGTGCGACCAAGCATGTACTGTACCATGTTGCAAGAGGCTTCTGTGACTGGTTCGCACGTTGCACAGTCACAGTTTAGAGCTCGTCATACTTTTAACGACTGACTCTATAAGGGAGCAAGGCAGGGCAGGGCAGGGCAGGGCAGGGCAGGGCAGGGCACTCTGTTGAGTCGACTCAACAGTCATCTCTTGCAATGAAGGGCTGTTGGTGACCTTCGAGGCATCCGCAAAACTTGTGCAGTGTTGTTAGGGCTTATAATTTCCGAATGGCTATAAGAGGTCCTGCTTGGTACTGGCTTGCTTCCTCCCTGCTTAGTTGCTCCGGGAATGTTTCTCACAGTTTGAAGTAAGCTCATGCAGTGCAGAGGAAAAACCTGCAATCACATGCTGCTGTGCTGACTAAGAAAAACCTGTTCAGTTTACTTCCTACTACAGAGGATTGTGTTGTGTGTGGTGTGATCCAATAAAGCTCAAAAGCTTTGTGGAAGTACCATACTAACAACAAATGTTCAGTCTGTGATACACTGGTGGTGGTGCGTATATCCTCTCTTCTGTCTGCTTCCTCAGTAGTCTCTGCTATGGGTGGGTGCTACCGTCACTGATATGGTACTAGAGCTACTGCGGCTCTGCTTTTTGTTCCATGGCCTGAAAATATAACGAGCCTGCTTGGTGCTTGGCACCAAGACTTGGGCAACATAGGTACAAATTGGCAAATCAATTCTTTGGTACCGGTACCTACTCCTAAGCATACACCATGCTTAGAACCACGGGGCTCATGGCAGGGGCTGCATGTCCTTCATGCAGCACCACCGTGCTCTGCCTGGTGGACTCTGGAAATATACAGGTGGTTGGAGCAGCGCTAGAGTTCAAGCTGGTGCGTGCTCGCTCGCTCGCACTTGGCGCTGGCATGAGCTGCTCGGTTGCCTTGCCTTGCAGCAGGCATTACCGTATCTGCGCTGAGTCCTAAATCACATGGGATACGCTAGGCCCGTTTTCGACTGCTCGCACATGCGTGCGTGCATGCGTTGTCGTTCCACGCCATAGCCTTAAGTTGCTACCTTTCTGATTGTGACACCTGGAAACGATTTCAGGCCTCTCAGCTTCGCACAACAGTCAAATGTCGTTGGACACATTCACCTCCCACACTAAAATGTCATCCCATGAGTCACCTTCCAGACCATCTTCCCAGGAGATCTCATTTGAGGCGCCTCAAAAGTCCTCAAAAGCCAATTCGCCCTCCGCACTCAGATATCGTCCCACGAGTCACCTTCCAGCACGTCCTCCCAGGAGATCTCCGGCCCATCTCGCACAAACACCTGCTGCGACTCTTTGTGAGGCGCCTCAAAAACACATCCGCCTCCCACGCTCATATGTCATCCCATGAGTCGCCTTCCAGCACGTCCTCCCAGGAGATCTCCGGCCCATCTCGCACAAACACCTGCTGCGACTCTTTGTGAGGCGCCTCAAAAACACATCCGCCTCCCACGCTCAAATGTCATCCCATGAGTCGCCTTCCAGCACGTCCTCCCAGGAGATCTCCGGACCCTCTCGCACAAACACCTGCTGCGACTCTGCCTCGGGCTCTGGCTCCTCTAGCAGCAGCCGTGCAGGGTATGTGTCCATGGGGGTTGTTAGCAAGAAGTGGCTTTCCATGGCCGAGGATTCCCCGTGCCAGTGCACGTCGAGTGATATGCTCTGGAACGGGAAGATGGGGATCAGATCCGTGGCAGCGCTGGTGGTAGCAGTGGGAGCAGGAGGGGCAGGAGGAGGTAGCGTAGGAAGAGGAGGAGCAGGAGCAAGGGCAGGGGCAGGAGGAGGAGGAGCAGTGGTGTCGGGTAGAAAGAATTGCGAGGCAGTGACAGGGGGAGAAACAGCAGCAGCTGCGACAGCAGCAGGAGCAGCAGGGGGAGCACCCCAAAAGGTTGCCGGCATCTGTAACCGCGTGCAGAGGGGGAATGGGGAGCGAGGTTGGTTGCTGCCACTCCGATGAAACGTCGAATGGGCCGTCGACAGGTGGCATGACAGGAGAGGCTCGGAGGAGGTGAGAGAGAGGAGTTTGGGATGGGGAGGAGGCATAGGGGGGACGGTTTGGTGTGGTCTCGAGTGTACCGAGTGAGGGGTAGGATGTGAGGGTTGGGAAGTGCAGGGGGCAGTGAGAGAGCGAGATGACGATGTTGAGGTTGCATAACTTGCGTGCTGGGTTGATAGTTGAGGGGTCTTGAAAGCTGCAGCGGTGGGGCCTCTGATATGCTGCTCCGCTGCTGCTCTTACTGAAAGTAAGCCCGGTGATGCTGTGCGTGCTTGAGGTTGGGGTGGTGGTAACAGTGGCGGTGGTGGTAGCAGGACTGCTGCTTCTGATTCTGCTTCTTGTCCTTGTGCTTGTCCTTCTCTTTGTACTTGTGCTGCTGCTTCTCCTCGTGGTTCTGGCATCTGCTGCTGCCAACACGGCATCACCCGCTCCATGTCTTCCCCTACCACTGCTTGCAGCTGTGCCTGTCGTTGCTCTTCTCGTCGCTGATTTCCCTCTTGCCGCTCCTCTTCTTGCTGCTTCGTCTGCTCCTGCTCGTGCTCTGGCTCCTGCTCCTTCTCGTCCTGCTGCTCCTGGTGATTCTGCAAGAGTTGTCGCTTCTGATTCTGCTTCCGCGCAGGAATCCACAGGTCTCGAGGGAGAGAGAGCAGGTGGGGATCAGCAGAATCAGCAAAATTTCCACCAGAGCCGCTGCCAAGGCGGCGGCTGCCTACACTACTCCCGTTCTCCACAGGCCTTGGGTAAGGGACCAAGAAGAGAGGTGCTTTTCCAGCCGCTACTGCTTTTCCTGCAGCTTCTGGGGTAGCGCCTTCTGGCTTCTCTGAAACACCTGCTCCCACTCCTGCTGCTGCCGCTGCTTCTGCTGTCACTGCTGCTGCCGGTGCTGCTGCTGGTGCCGCTGACGCCACAGAAGCTGCTGACGAACAGACGTGCAGAGGCTTCGCTTGGGTTGTTTCAGAGACAGCCAGGGGACGCGGGGAAGGTCTAGGAGCAGAAAGTAAAGGAGCAAAGGAT